AACGAGCTTTTTTCAAAATTGCTTGAATATTAATATTTTTTGAGTTATTAAGGAAAAACTAAATACCATTTTTTTAATCTTATTTTGTTAATAATAATTGCTGCACCAAAATCCTTCGAAAACATTTTTCTAGAGGTGATTCCTAATCGAAAGAGATATTTTTAGGACCTTTATCTTTATTTTTCATGTTTTTGAACTTGTTGATTAGACTATAGGAATTGATAACCTCTCTTAGGTTAGATTTGAGTTTTGAATATGATACCTTGAAGATACCAAACCTAATGATATTTGCGTATTTATTATACATTGAGCAAATTCTGTCAATGGGGGATTTATGTAGATTGACATGAAAAGTAGTTTGTCGTGGACGAAAACCTGGCAGCGGAACATATAAACAGATTTGACTGGTGAGAATTATCGATACTTTTAAAATGAAAGTATTGAAACAAGTTTCGATATTCACGTTTATATTTCAAATAAGAACGATTGGTGATTACGTTACGTTTCTGATCTTTATAACTTGGAACATTCTACAAATAACAATGTGAGTAAAGTTTGATCAAATCAGCGTTCGTTTCAATATGCAGAACAACATGTGAAGGGAAAAATATAAACTGAAATTTGGAAAATCATCATATATGTGTAACTCACCCAACCCCAAAAGGCCCATTAAAATTTGAACCAGTCCGATCAGGAAACAAAGGAGTATTGCATGTTCGGGTCCTCGCCCTTTGACTGCCTGAGCAGTCAGTAAGGCATTAATGGCAGAGGGTCCAAATGGAACGTCTTTACAACTTCCGAAAATGATGTACACGAAGCATCCCACGAAAGAACTGTATAAACCATATTGTGGAGGAAGACCAACAATGCTGTAGTAAGCCAGTGCCTGAAAAATCATACAAGAAAAGGTTTAATGTAGTAAAAGTCGGATTCACTTTGGATAAGCAGAAATGAAGGAATGAATCGGAAGACTTGTGTAAACATTGGACTGATTGAATTGAAGTTCGCGAAGGGAACGATATGAAAATGCAATTTATGGGACAATGATTTATATGACGCAACTCGATAATCAACTAGATACAGATTTTATTTTTGATAACAATAATTATTACGAAAACTACATCACTTGGAATACATTTGAATAAATGTTTTCATTCATTTACTGTAACAAAACTGGCCAGACAGATGATGCTAAGGATCATCTAACATAACTAATATGAAGTTCCTTGTAGTATACATTCTTGAACCCAGAACAGCAAATCTTGAAGAGACGGATACGAAAATTATTTGTATTTCAATCAAATGAAAACACTTTATTCTGAGATCAACACAGATAATGTCATATTCGGTGCTACTTTTTGAAGCAGAAGGTTGTAAATTCCGTATATACATGCATTAAAAGTGTGGAATATTACTCCCCACTGTTATTCTCACACTCTCATGTCAAATAAAAAAATTCAACAGCTTTAATAACGAACTATGACCATTCTCGAGTTATTCATTTTTGATGAAAAGCGAAGTACAATCGGTAACTAAATAGCATCGAAATATATAGAAAACATCCCTTCGAATTCTGGACAAGCATATGAGAGGTTTTGTTCTATTGGGGTTCTCTTTACCTAACCTAATTAGTTTTTCAGATATCGGCTTTTTCAAATAGTTTTTATTTCAGTGCATTCTTCGAATCAAGATAGCTTTGAAACGACATTTATTTGATTTGCTCACGAAATTCTCATTGACAGTTGTTTTCAACTGGAACAACAACAAAATATAAACCACAAATGTACTTAATTCAATGTAGGTGCTCGAAATGACGACCATCCTGTTGAATACAAAGATCCACTCTCTCTATGAAAGACTACTTGGTATTTAATAACATTTCAGGCGCCACTCTTCGAGAAGCAGCCCTTATTCTCTTTTTCATATTTTTCAGTGTGGTTAGAGGAGTGTCGTAGACCTTATTCTTCAAGTACCCCCATAGGAAAAAATCGATGCAAGTCAAATTTTGTGGTCCTCCCCTACCAATCCATTTATTCGGAAAGCATATACCTATTCAAAAACTGTATGACACCGAATTAGAAATGTGTTATAATTCAGTTTTAACTACTTCCGTTGTCTGATATTTAGCGGCACATTCTCCAGAAGCTCAAAATAGAAATGTTAGTGAAAATTTAAGATAATGTACCTGCAGTTGATATTGCTAACTGCGGTATTGTCAATATACCGTTTCACAAACTTGGTTGTGAAACGCACGTCGAAAAGAATATTGCATTTCTAGTGCTTGTTTTGGATGAAATATGTAGTTCAAAGTTGAATGACTACGTTTTTAATTTGATCATAGTAAAAGTAGTGATCCACTCGTGCAGTAAACCAATTCCACACTCGTGTAATTGTTGCACAAATTGCACAAATCGTGTGGAATAGGTTACTTTCTACACTTGTTGCACAATATACTAATCTCACACCAGAACATCATCATCTGCTGCATGCCAAACATGCCATTTAGCTTGAAAGCTATAAAATTCACTTCTTGAAACGTTTTGAAACGGAAACAGTTATATTTCCTTTCAGAAAAGTCAACGTTTGGCAAAGAAAATATACTCGCTTTGAGTTTCGAAAACGAAACGGAGTTTCTTTCCCAAACGTTTACCACCTAAAGCAAAATTAGTGCATTAATAACATTTTTTTTTCACTACTAACCTGTGAAATTGCTATTATTTACTCCATTTCCCTAAAGAGAATTAATATTTGTCACCCTTGGTAAATAATGATAATAAAAAAAACACTTAGGTAAATAATGAGAACAATTTTATAATTTTAAAGATATTCACAGAAACTTTTGTTAACTTAATTATCAACTAGAAGTAGGGAATTGAACATTGGAAATACGCTTGAAAATTATTTGAAAATTCAATTAATTGTACAATTGTCAGGCGGGGTACACATCATCTCTAAAACATCGTCACTTGAATTTTCACTCATTTTTCAATTGATTATATTAACGTTTTACTTATATAGATCTTTTAACTTCTTCAAAATGACATCTAAATTTGAATTAAAACCGCATTTGACAAACTGACAGCAATAATAATCATTGTACAGTGTTTGGATGTTATGGAAACGCCGGCAAACGTTTTCATGGCATAAGTAGATGTTGCGCGCTTATCATCGACATCGCGTATTCAACATGGAAACCGTACCGTTTCAATTTGACATGCGACAATTCATAGCTGCCTTGGGTTATTATATAACCAAGGAAATGTTTTTCTCACTATAATGCAGAATTGAGAAATTCTGAGTTCTGAACATACAGAAGCGATGAGAGAAGTGAAACATTGAAATATATCAAAAATGCAATGAGATATTTCCTAGATTCATATCAAAATTTGACACATGCCAAATTTTTACATAAATAAAGCCAGTCTGATTAGAAATACGTTCCACTCTACTTGATATTCCGATATATTCAACAAATTGTTAGGAAATTACTGATGCCAAAATTGAAATTGTTAATATATCATTGTTAGTAGTGAAAAAAATTCTATATACCTATACCTCGGCTGAGAAAGCTTTTATTTACTTCGCACATTATATCCTTCGGCGCTACGCGCCTCAGGACGCGTGGCGTTAAATAATATCTCACTTCTCACCCTAGGTATATGATATACTATTCCATTTATTACTCGATTTATTATTTATTACAAAATTTGATTACAAAATTAATGAATCCTACAAGTAGTTAACTAGTCGAACTCTTCAGAAGTTTATATGTCGCGGTAAATTTTCGAGGTGAACTTTATTACATCAGATTCTCTATTAATTTGGCTTAGATAATTTTTTTCATTGTGGAAGAGTAAAAACCCAGATATGCAGCAAGAATCATTGCTGCATATCTGGGAAATCTCTCGAATACTTTCAACATTGGTGTTCCCCAGGAATCCATATTATCTCCGACCCTCTTTTAATTGTATATCAACGACTTTAGAAAAAAAATCAAGAAACCAATATATCGCTATGCTGACGACAACACACTTGTCTCGTTATTACATTCGGATTCCAGGACATCGGCTGCGGCTGCACATCTTCATCGGCAGCAAGAGGTTGCATATCTTAATAAGGATCTAGAGGTGATTTTGAATAGGGGTGAAAGTAACCACGTTCAATTCAATACCATGAAAACTCAGGCATCGGTTTTCTACAAAAAGATTAATGTTTCCGAACCGGATATAATAATGTCACGTCAGATAATTCCGTTTTCCGCTTCGATAAGTATGTTTGGGATTGAAATGAACATCAATATGTCATGGCACAATCATGTCGCTGGAATTGCAAAGGCTGCTTCTGAAAAGCTTGGAATACTGTCCCGAACCGGAAAATACTACACACCTCAGCAACTTTTGATGATTTATGAAGCTCAGATCAGACCTTCTTTGGAGTATTGTTCTCATGTATGAAGCTCCGCCCCTAAGCATACCCTGAAGCTGCTGGATTCCATCCAGAAAAGAGCCATCCGCCTGATTGGAGACGCGAATATTACTTGCAATCTTGATAGTCTGGAATATCGAAGAAAGGTTGGAGATTTGTTTCACTTCTATAGATACTTTCTCGGGAAGTGTTCAACTGACTTGGCACATTTGATTCCATCAATAGCGGTACATATTAGAAATATGCGACGAACTGTGGCTGTTCATCGTTTTGAGATTCAACTCAGTACACCTCGAACTTCAATGTTTGAGAACTCTTTCATTTGGAGAATGTCGTTTATATGGAATGAACATCCAGAGAAAGTTTTTCCAAATGGATTTAATCTCCAGCGATTCAAATCCAATGTGAATCACTACATTCGCACAGGCACCGCTCTAAGAGCACCTTGAGAATTTTTCTGTAATGCTTGTGTTTCAATTGAAACATTATTTCCAATTAGAAAAATATTACTTCCCAAAAAAATGCATGTTACTCAAAGAAAACTTTACTCAACGATTCTTTGTTTCTTACACTAGTTTGCTAATTTTAGCACCCTACTGTATGCACTTAGTTGGGATTATCATCACAGAGGCATTAGATTGTTGAGAGAGACAGCAAAGCGCTTGATAGAAAGAAATTGAGTCCCAATTTATTCGGTATAACCCAACTGAGAGAGAAGTCAAGTGTATCAAAATATGGCATGCCTGAGTAGGACGGAACTTTTACGACTCATTCATCCCGAGTTGGCAAAAGTAGAACTAAGTATGTTTTGTCCTTTATATTGAAAAAGTAAAATGGAGTTGCTTCGTTCATGGGCAACATTCTGACTCTTCATCACCCCTTTCGCTTTATTTCTTTTTCTTATGGAAAATGAAGAAAATAATCGATCTCATTCGATGAAAACATTTCATGAATAAGCGATGTGAAACCGCCTACCGGTTTCTCATATGAATGAGAATTTTATCTCAATATTCCAACCAAATTATGAAAAAAACACTATAGTTTGTCATTTGGTTATTCAATGGTGATTTGTAACCTTTCGTTCTTCGTAACACCAATTGCTATTGTGGAAAAGTTTCGAATATCAAAAAGCTCACTGTCTTCCACTTTTAAATAAACTACCTGTCCCTCTTCTGAAACTCTAGATTCGAAGGTATTGAATATAGATATAGTAACCTAGTAATCTACTAGATAGTAAACAAGCTGCATTTAGTACTCAAAGATCTCTAGGGAGTTGGAGAATAAAAATATTCGCCATGAGTCAGAGGCGAAATATTTCCAAATTACTTCATTCGTTTCAGTATTTGTTGAATCCATCTGTGTAGGTTTCAATTGAACAACAGTTGAAATGAGTTACATAATAATTACATTAGTGATGGGTATTTTAATTGTGTTCGTGGACCGTAACTAGTCGTCCATTAT